AGGGAAAGGAGGAACAAATACTGTGAGATAGACTTGGCAGAATGGGAAGCATTGCCAGTTTTCTCAAATAAGCCTTGTCTGCAGCAAGTTTGGGAACCATGGATTTAAATTGAGATGATCCTGTCACTTTTTCTCTTATGCTGTGGACGACTTTACTGAACTAGATAATGCAGAGGATCCAACAGCCCTAACTGAGGCTTTGAGCCTGTGAACTAGATAATGCAGAGGATCCAACAACCCTAGCTGAGGCTTTGAGCCTCTGCCAAAATGCCATAATGAAATAGTCCTTTTGAACAGACCTGCTAAATTCCAGAAATCACCCTGCCCTGATACCTTAGTGATTTTGTTTGGGGGTAAGATTTGTTCCCTTACTGAAAAGAGTTTGTGTCATCACTCCCATGTTACTGCCTGTATCTGTCAGCAGCTCAGGCCATTTATTCTCAGACTCTTGTCCAGAATAGTGTTTCTGGCACCACCTGTCTGCTCTTCCCTGACTTCCTCAGGGGCAGCAGAGCTGTCCCTCTCTGTTCAGTGCTCTATGGGGAGGCTCTGTAGAAAAAGGAATACTCCAGAGGAGGTAAGTTCTCCAGAAGGAGCCCAAATTTGGGTCAGGGAGGGACTGAAGTGTTCACCTAGTCAGTCTGAGCCCAGTTGAGTCATTGCTTTCAGTGTTCCTGTGTTGCTGGGCCTAAGCTCTTACATACTGAGGTGTCTCCACTCATGTCCTAGAGAAAGAAAAATGCTTATTGTCCTCCATTAGAAGGATTTTTATAATTGCCTAATAAGTTGCCAGTATATTAAATTAACATAATTGGGATTTTTATAATTGCCTAATAAGTTGCCTGTATATTAAATTTACATAATTGATTATGTATGGGCATATGTAATTATATTTTTATTCTTGGACTTTTGTGCATAACAGTTGTGGTTTGGGCTTTAGTGCTGTGGAGAAAGCCTTCGTTCATTTTAAAGGGAAATAATTACAGTTCTGGTACTCATCTTTTTTCAGATGTATTTGTTGGGTTCCGGGACGTTCACTGTAAAAGATCTTCTTCAGGACAAGTATCACAGGTTGCACATAACACTAAGGTTGGTAACATTCTCCTTCATTTAGGAATTAGTTCTCAAAAGCATGCTTAAAATGTGATGAAAACCTTTTGTTTCCTTGGGTTTTTAGTTCCAGAACACTGTTAAGGAAAAACTAGTTTATATTGCATTATAATCAAAACATGTAGGACAAGACCTTTCCAATGTGGTGAGTAATGGTAGACCTTGGTTCTAGTCCTACAAGTCAAGAAAGTATTGCAAAGACCAATTTTATTTTTGTGCATTTCATCCTGTCACCTCAGTGTATGTGTCTGTGAAGAGTGCAGAATATTTTTAACTGTACTAATGTATTAAGAGCCTCTGATGGGAAGAATGAAACCTATTGGAACAGAGAGTTACCTTCACTTAGAGTTACCTTCACTTAGAGTGACCTTGGCTTAGCTGAAGCTTAGAATCATAGAAACACAGAATGGTTTGGGTTAGAAAGGACATTAAAGACCATCTAATAGATTCCATGGGCAGGAGCATCTTTTACTAGCCCAGGTTGCTCAGAGCCCCATCCAGCCTGGCCTTGAACACTTCCAGGGATGGGGAGGCATCCACAGCTTCTCTGGGCAACCTGTTCCAATGTCTCACCACCCTCATAGTGAAGAATTTCTTCCTAATAGCTAATCTAAATCTACCTTCTTTCAGTTTAAAGTAAAATCTAGGTTCTATTTGCTATTTCCACACCTGCCTGTTGCTGAATTGCATACTTGTTGCTAAGTAATGTATTTACCATTATGATGCATGAGGAATAGGAGTCATCATGTCACAGCATCTTTGATTGATGTATTTTTATAGTTTGTTTCATACTGGAAACTTTTGAGGAAAGAACATGACTCAAGAGTGAATGAAAAAGAGTTACCAGTCCTTAAGGTAGTCATTCTAATCATAGGTATCAAACCACACTCTCAGTGCAGGACGAAGTTAAGGGGAGGGTTGGGGAAGAATGAAGAAGGCAAAATGAGGTTAAGAAAAGAGAACTCTGCTGTGTAAATGCACATTGTAGGTGCTGTACATTAATGTTCACAATTTAAGCTGCTTTTGCTAATTGTAAAATCTGAACTCTTTCTGGTTTTACAGAAGCATTGAAACACATGCCTTAGATTGCCTTCAGTTAGTAGGTCTGTACAGCATCCCTGCAGAATGAGGGCAGCCCTTCTCCTGTTGGAATAACCCATTGTCAAAACATGCAAAATGAAGCTGCAAAGCTTCCTGTTTAAAATGTTCATTAAGTTTGAAGATTAATAGCCTTTTATAAGTGTTCCCTTGTTGATAAACAGGTCCACCTCCAAAAAAATCTCAACGCAGAGTGTTTGTTGCAGGTCGGCTGAAAGTGACCGTGTAGGTAACATCACAGTTATTGGATGGCAAATGGAGGAAAAATCTGACCAAAGGCCTCCAGTGACAAGGTCACCTGACACAATTAATGGCAGGGTGAGTATGAGCATTGTATCAAATTCAGAAGAATGCAGATTTATTGCCAGCATTGAAACAAGCTAAGTTAACATCTGCTGTCAGCTTTCCTGTCCATCTTGATATTGAGAGTTCTTTACATTTTCAAAATACTCTAAAAAGGAGCCTGGTGATGATGAAGCTGCTTTGTGTTTTGCAGAGCTCATGGTGCTCATGTTTAGGGTTCAAAGTCTTGGGGAAAATTTAAATTTTCAGTGATTAAGCTTTAGCTTCAAGTGCTCATGTCCATCAGAAGAAGCTCGTAGGACTGTTGATTGGTGCATTGATAACCACTTTCACAGAGATGTGCTATTTCATTTCACTTGGTGAATCAGAAGGTGGCACTAAGGACAACTGTAAAGAGCATGCTAGGGAATTTCCAGAATTGTAACAAAACAGAGCAGGTTACTTGATTATTGGATTTAAATCTTATTTTTACTGATCCCCAGATATTTGCTTGAGAGCAGATATCTGTAGCACTTCTCAGCCTAGAGATATGTTTAATTCTGTAAACCTCGTGTTCTTGGCAGTAATTGCACTGGCATCTGTGTACTACAGTCACAATGTGCCTGAGTATCACTCTGTATCCATCCAGGCCTGTAGGTACCACATATTCACAGACTCAGAATCAGTGAGGTTGGAAGGGACCACAGTGGGTCATTGGTCCAACCTCCCTACTCCAGCAGGGCCACCCTAGAGCACATGGCTCAGGATTGTGTCCAGATGGGTCTGGAATATCTCCAGTGAGGGAGAATCCACAACCTCTCTGGGCAATCTGTTCAGTGCTCAGTGACTGCACAGGAAAGTTCTTCCTTGTATTCAGGTGGAACCTCCTGTGCATCAGTTTTTGCTGTTCCCTCTTGTTTTGTTGGTTTCCACAAGTGAGCAGAGTCTGATCCATCCTCTTGGCACTTCCCATTGATGGACTTGAATATATTAATGAGGTTCCTCTTGGTTGTCTCTTCTTGAGGCTGAGCAGGCCCAACTCCCTCAGCCTTTCCTCATCACTGAGGTGCTCCAGTCCCTTCAGCATCTTTGTTGCTCTCCCCTGGACCTGCTCCAGGAGCTCCAGCCCAGACCTGGCCACAATCCTCCAGCTGTGGCCTCACAGGGCTGAGCAGAGAGGCAGGATCAGCTCCCTGACCTGCTGGCAAAACTTCTTAATGCATCCCAGGATTTCCCACCAGCCTCCTTAGCCACAAGGACACACTGTTGACTCAAATATTGATGCAGTACCTTGAAGGGCTCTGGAGTTGTGCTAACATGAAGTAGTTAAAAGGCTGGATGAAAATTTTTACAGCATTCTGAACTGTGCAGTAGCAGTAAATAGAATTGCTTAGGATTTATTATTCCAGCCTGCAGGACTTTTTGTCCACAGTGAACATATCTGAAATATTTATTTCAAGCATGTGTTGTGTTGAATATTTCTTTGAAGTCTGTGTGATAGGGTCATCACTGTATATTGCCCAGGCACTGAAGTTTGATTCTCTGCTGTCTCTGGGTTTTGTTTTTGTTCAGACTGTGTTGCCAGTTGATGAGAGTTTAACAGAATCTTTAGGAATCAGATCCAAATATGCTTCATTACGGAAAGATGCACTACTGAAATCTGGTAAGCTGCTGTGGGCTGTAACAAGGAAGCTTTAGGCATCAGTAGGAGCTAATCTCTCCCTGTCTGCTGTGGCCCCAGGGTGTTGAAGCAGATGTTTCATTTGAATAGGAACAGGCTGCTGATTGAGCAGTCCTCTGAGGGTCATACAAGAATAAAGGATTTTGTCATCTGCACTACTGTGTGTTGTAAAAACAGCAAAGTTTTGCCATGAAGTTGTCTGTAATATAACGTTTTTCATGCAATTTGCTTATCTGTTCCTAAGTGATTGCTGGGGGAGGAGGAGAGGGACAGAGGAAAGCAAGTTGCTATAAAAAGCAATTCTTGCAGAAAGGTTAGTTTCCCAGCAAATGATTGCATGAGAGGAAAATGCTCAGTACACAGACAAGAAAAAGATCTTAAAGGTTGAATATGTATTTCATTTATTTCATTTCCTTACCAGTGTTTTAAGACATTTGAAGTTGAGGATGTTCCTGGAAACAGGAGAATGACCATGCTTGGGAAAGCTGGACTTGTGCCTGATTAAACTGGATCTTTACAGTAGTGTCTTACAGCATGAGAGCAAACTGAAACCATCTACTGTAAGAAAGGAGAGAGTTTGTACACTTTTAACTCAAACCCTGTGCTCAAATAACATGATTTTCATTCTTTAGTGTTTGGTGGTGCCATTTGCCGAATGTATCGTTTCCCAACCACTGATGGAAACCACTTGAGAATCCTGGAGCAGATGGCTGAGAGCATCCTGTCCCTGCACATCCCTAGGCAATTTGTGAAGCTGCTCCTAGAAGAAGATGCAGCAAGGTGAGTTTGGGAGCAGTGATGTGGCTGTTGCTGAGTTACAAAGGAATCTATGTTAAGGCACAAAGCACTGAAGAAAAAAATAGTAAAAGCAACAAGTTGCTGACCGTACAGTGACAGTGAATGAGATTTCATGGGTTTGGGCCTGAGTAACAAGATTTCATTTGTTTGGGCTTGAGTGTGTGGTAATGTGAACATACAGAGGTGTGATAGGAGAGTGAGCAGAGTGAATGCTTAGGGTCATACTGCAGTTGTTGCATTTAGGGTTTTCTGTTCCTTTCACAAAAGTATTGAATGCATTATTCCATAGTCATGTGACTCTACTAGGACCAGCACATTAAAATACATGATCTTTTTATATATATATATATATGTATATGTTTATTATATCCATATATAATACAGAGATAATAATTTATATACTTCAAAACACCATGGTTTTTTAACATTGTTCACTTTTACTACAAGGAGGAAAATGAAGTGGAATTAAAAATAAAACATATCTCAGTTTTTTATAGATAGGGGAAAGTCTGGATAGATGAGACAGCATAAATGAAAGAGCTGCTGAGGACCTTGAGAAAGGAACACAGAATGCAGAAACTAGCTGAGTGGAATGAGTAATTGCAACAGCAGAGAAGAAAAATACAAATCACTTTAAAGGGGAACTTTGCAAAAGTCAGTTGGCTCCTGTCTATGAAAGCAAAGCAAAAGGAGATGATGGGTGCATTGGCTCTGCTCAGTGAGTTAAGAAATGGCTTTGAGAGCATCTTGCCCAGCAGTCCTGCTACAGCCTTGAGGGAACAGGCTAGGGACATGCCTTTGCACACTTAGACATGGGTTACTCATTGTTTATTTTGTGTCTTTGTTTCTCTACAGCTTCCCTCACGATAGGCTTAAAAGCACATATTCATTATGAGGTACAACCAGAATCATAGAATCATAGAATTTA